AAAGCCAACCCATCCATTTGAACGCTGGTCAAAGAGCTGTAACTCTGAAAACGTTAAAAGAGTCATTGATTCCTTTGATATTCTTTGAACTCACGTTTATAATTTGATTCAATTGCGAATAATATTTTACAACATTTTTATCGTTTTCTCTCCTGAAACAAGAAAAATGAGAAAAACATTTTCAAACAGAACAATCTCAGATATGAAATGTCTGTAAGCCCAAGCTCGAGAGGCAAATGGGGCACGATCGATTCCATGGACCAGATTGGCAGACAAAGCACGAGAGATAACACATAATTCATTCATGTTGCATGCATCTTAGACATAATTAGGTGCATCACATTCCTCATTTTAGCATACATGATTTTTGCAGCTTTTAGAGTCAAGGATACTTGATTCGTAAGCGCCTTTAAAGAACGATGGTGGTTGCTTAGCTCGGCAGCAAGAAGCTACCGATTGAAAATTTTCTCTCGAACTCACAATTTGCTCGAGAGTAAATTTCAACTTCTCAATGAAGGATCTTGAATCCAAGACAACACAAGCTCAACTTCATGACGAAGGGGCGGCTGATTGTCAACAAACACTTCCCAATTTCAGAGCCAATTTCAACTTCACATCGAAGGATATTGGACTCCAGACAACGTATGTTCAACTTCACGACGAAGGGACCGCTGGTTGTCAACAAATTTTCCCGATTTCAGAGCCAATTTCAACTTCACAGCGAAGGATATTGGACTCCAGACAACGCAAGTTCAACTTCACGACGAAGGGACCGCTGCTTGTCAACAATAATTTCATAATTTCAGAGCCAATTTCAACTTCACAGCGAAGGATATTGGACTCCTGACAACGCAAGTTCAACTTCACAACGAAGGGACCGCTGGTTGTCAATAAAAAAAATTCCCAATTTCAGAGCCAATTTCAACTTCACAGCGAAGGATATTGGACTCCAGACAACGCAAGTTCAACTTCACGACGAAGGGACCGCTGGTTGTCAACAAACATTTCTCAATTTCAGAGCCAATTTCAACTTCACAGCGAAGGATATTGGACTCAAGACAACGCAAGTTCAACTTCACGACGAAGGGACCGCTGGTTGTCAATAAAAAAAATCCCAATTTCATAGCCAATTTCAACTTCACAGCGAAGGATATTGGACTCCAGACAACGCAAGTTCAACTTCACGACGAAGGGACCGCTGGTTTTCAATAAACAATTTCCCAATTTCAACTTCGCAACGAAGGATATTGGACTCCAGACAACGCAAGTTCAACTTCACGACGAAGGGACCGCTGGTTGTCAATAAACAATTTTCCAATTCTAGAGTCAATTTCAACTTCACAGCGAAGGATAGTGGACTCCAGACAACACAAGTTCAACTTCACGACGAAGGGACCACTGGTTGTCAACAAACAACTTCTCAATTTCAGAGCCAATTTCAACTTCACAACGAAGGATATTGGACTCCAGATAACGCAAGTTCAACTTCACGACGAAGGGACCGCTGGTTGTCAATAAACAACTTCCCAATTTCAGAGCCAATTTCAACTTCACATCGAAGGATATTGGACTACAGACAACGTATGTTCAACTTCACGACGAAGGGACCGCTGGTTGTCAACAAATTTTCCCGATTTCAGAGCCAATTTCAACTTCACAACGAAGGATATTGGACTCCAGACAACGCAAGTTCAACTTCACGACGAAGGGACCGCTGCTTGTCAACAACTTCCCAATCTCAGAGCCAATTTCAACTTCACAACGAAGGATATTGGACTCCAGACAACGCAAGTTCAACTTCACGACGAAGGGACCGCTGCTTGTCAACAAAATTTCATTCAGAATCAATTTCAAATTCACAACGAATGATGTTGGACTCGAGACAAAACAAGTTCAACTTCACAACGAAGGGACGGCTGGTTGTCAACAACCAATTTCCCAGTTCCAGAGCCAATTTCAACTTCACGACGGAGGATATTGGACTTGGAACAATGCTACTTACTTGGATTTCAACTTCACGACGAAGGATATCCAATTCCAGACTCAACTTCACGACGAAGGGGTCACCAACGGTTTCAACTTCACAACGAAGGGAATCGTGCACACAAGCAACATCCATCTTTAGATTGGATTTTAACTTCACGGTGAAGGATATTCAACTCAAAGGAGTGTCTGTCAACACACTTCCCAGTTTCAGAGTCAATTTCAACTTCGCAGCGAAGGATATTGGCCTCGAAACAACGCAACTTACATTGGATTTCAACTTCACGACGAAGGATATCCCATTCTCAGGCTCAACTTCACGACAAAGGGGCCATATACATATACAACTTCACAACGAAGGGTATCATACCCTAATAGGTTGACCTTACTTCACGACGAATGAGTCATCTGTAACACATCAACACCAAAGTCTTCAGGTCAAGTTCCACCTTCACGACGAAGTATCTTGAGCCAGAAGACGATCCAGGAGTCACTTGCCAAAAGCTTTGAGTTTGATTTCAACTTCACAACGAAGGATATCGTACTCAGAAGTTTCCAGTTCAACTCGACCTCACGACGAGGGAGTCATTTTGTGACTCAATTTAAATTAACAGATCAGTCATTGCATCGGATTTCAACTCTACGGCAGAAGACGTTCGATATGGACAAAATTTGTGTCTTTTTATCTTTGTCCTATTTTTCGTTCCACGAAAAAGGACAAAGAGGGGCAGCTGTAGACACTAATTTTTTGCCCAACAATACTATCCTCGTATTTCTCGGTAACAAGAATAACAACCAAGTCAAAATACTAAATCAAGGCATTTGAGTCCAAGTGGGACTCTAAAACTGAATAAAAGAGCGTTTCAGTTTGAATATGACTCTACAAATCTATCTAAAAATAGCCAGTTTCATGGCTATAAATTGAGGCAAAAATAAGGAGGAAAAGGGGGGGGAGGATCCCATGAGAAGGCAGAGAAGGAATGGAAGGAGGGGACCATCGGCTTCACGTGGACCTTTGTTCTTCCCTCCATTTCTCAAGATTTTGAGTGTGGGGTAACCCCTGACACCATATTCACTTGCTAAATCTCAGTTTGCTTCCTCGTCGACATCAACTTTAGCTAGAAAGACTGGAAGAGGTCGGCTTTAATGTTCCTTACAACCACCCACTCCTTATAATTTCCCATTTACAAATGGAAAGCCCTGTACTCATAAACTAAGAAAGTAAATGGAGGAATCAAGGAATGGGGGTTATGAAGAGTGCAACAAGAATGCGTCAAAATACAGGCGCCCAGGTTGCTGCCTCTGCACCTGCAGCCTCCCTTGCGTTAACGCTCACAAGCAACGCACCGACTACCATGGCAAAAAGAACATCACTTCCTTTGCTCCTCTCTAAATTCGACGATAATCTTCTCATCTCAGGAAGAATTGCATTTTATGGACTATTGAATGGCGGTTTCACTCTACGGATGTTGTTTTACTTGACCATGGTGTACATGAAGATACAAGCCTCTGCTCATTAATGGAAAACCATCTCCAACCTAGCCCCTGGAATCGTTCTATAAGGAGGATCTGCGAAGTGTAGCTCGATTGCCTCAAGTATTTTATTCGAAAATACACTAAGGTATATCACCCTTTTGGGGCTCGACGCAAAGGCCACCACACAGAAACAACGGCAATACCCGAATCAGAACCTACAGGGAAGGTTTCACGGCGAACCGATGCTGCCCAGCCTCGACCCAAGCCAGCTGTGCTTTCTCGGAGAAGATACGCCTTACCACGGCCACCAATAGCTGAGCACAGCGGCGTAAGAGACATGTTTGCTAGCCCAAAGCTCGCGTGTTCGTTGATAACACGCTACAATGACGACGGCTGCGAACAGGGTGCAAAGAGGAATGGTCAGCGAACCTACATTGACGATGAATGGCGGCGCGACGACACGAAAACTCCATGAACGAAGCTGCTAGGGTCTGAAGCGAGAGACCGAAAGAAGGGAGGACCGACGCACTTGTGGGTTTTTAATTTGGGGAACAACTGCAAGCTGTAAGTTGAATTGAGATATCTTATTGTGGGGCCCATGTTTTAAAAGCCAGAGCCATTTGTTTTCAGGTAACCCACGTGCACTTAGGGTTGTTAAATGCTAAACCTTGGTAAAATCCTTCAATTTTTGAACATATTCATTTTGGTCCTTTTTCATTTTTATTTTTATTTTTATTTTATTATTTTTCTTTTTACTAACTTTTATTTATCATTTTTATCTACTTTATTTATTTTATTATTATTATATTAACATTTTTTTTCATATTCATATTCATTTTTATTTTTATTTTTATTTTACAATCTAACAATATTCTCGACTTTAGGGATACTCTTCAACCAATCAAAGGTAAGTAACTCGAATTGATTTTTTTTTAATTTTAATTTAAATTCTTAATTTTCACAATTAAAGACAACCGATAAATTAATTGGTACCGAAAGGGCGGTTCAAGGGTGCTAATCCTTCCTTGACCGTAACCGACTCCCGAGCCCGACACGTTTCTGGTACAACGTAGATCAGGTAAGATGGTGTCCGACCCACCTAAATTCGTTTTAAACTGGTCGGTGGCGACTCCAATCCACATTTTTCAAGTCGTAGCCCAATTCCGGGGCCCAACCGAAAGGCGGTTACGACAGTAGTAAAGTAGATGAATTAGAGGAGCAGACTTTGGAGTTGCTAGGTTTCCATTATGGGGATTTCATAGTTCTATGAGACATTTTAGGTTGTTCTTGCTTTTATTGTAGTGGATACGTTGGGTGAATCAATATCTAATATAACATTATCCTGTTTTATGACATATATTGTTTAGCATGATCTGTCTAACTGAAAGGAAGTGATTTATTTAATTTCTGCATCTAGAATATGGAATCTTTTTTCTTTTGCTGCCTACTCTCTTTTCTCTTGAATGTCAACATTGGTAATAAACTACCCTATGCATTATTCGGTTAGCTGATATTTGATGACTTTGTCGTCTCTAAGCCAGATTTGAGAACGAACTCATTATTGCCACTGGAAAAGGGGACCCTGCTTTGGTGATGTCCGAGTATGGCTTCAAGTAAGGGCTCAAATGTAATGTTTAGGTCTGGAAAAGTCCTGATATCCATAGCATATATTTTTAGATCACTTGGAAACTTATATAGCTACATTGTTTGGTGCTAGAAAAGTTATGTCATTGGAAGAGTATGCATCTTACTTTGAGAACATTGATCCTGTATCTCAATATAAAAGATGGACAACGATGCCACTGTCCGACAGGAAGGCGCCAGCAGCACCAAGATATGATGTTTCATCGGAGAGGGTTATGGCAGCTTTTGTTGTCAGTGATCCTGTAGACTGGGGCAGGGACATTCAGGTATTTTGCTTTTGTTCTACTTTTGAATTAGAACTTTAATTCTTTGTGCATTTTGAATCTCATGTAAAAGTTCCTTGAATGGTCTAATGTGAAATTCTCTATTAATTTATTTTCTTGTTTGGGTTATTTGATATGGCGCTACTACATGTTCAGGTGTTCATGGTATTCAATGTGAAATAAAAACAAGTTTCGAAATTCTTGAATGACATAATTATGTTTACTCTTCTTTAGAGAAAGAAACCATTTACAAATACATCTGGAAACACTTACGCTCATAACTTGTTAACTGCTTGATGAAATATCATTGTCCAAGCTCCAAAATTTGTGGAACAGTTTCATGAAATCAGTTGATCTCAGATTTGAACATGTTGAAGTCATGCAACAAAACAGATGTTGTATTTTGAGTTTCACCTTTTAGATTATATTATAATTTGCTATTTGATCTGCATTGTGCAACATTTGGAATGCCTAACGGGACTTGGATCTTGCTTCTGCTGAAAGTTGCAATGTAACTTCTAAATTGTAATTGTGACTATGGGAAAACTGTAATTACTCAACCTCTTAATAGAAATGATCATGCTATTCCACAACATCCCAAAAATTGATTAATGAATTCTATCAGGTGCTATGTGATGTTTTAAGATCTGGAGGCCTTCCTGGAGATGCAAATAGTAATCAACCACCTTTATATTTTGCTGCTGATGATCTTGAATATCAGGTTTGTTATCGTGTTTATTTATGTATAATAGAGTTTCATGGAATTCATCATATACATTTCTTAGGAACTTGGCACAGAGCTGCATTATCCAGATAAAAAAGTGCACCATCCTGCTACTATGTTGCTCTGGCACTTCATTTTTTCTTGAAGTATCCATGTCTCACATCTTGGTCCGACGCATATCCAATGGATATGGGATATAATCCTCCCAGACTTCCAAATAGTTGGAAATCTTGTAAAATTTTGGACATATTCACATTGGACACATTCTCGTGTTTGACACTCACATCTAAGTCCAAGTAACATAGCAATCCTGAATTCAAGGAATTCTTATTAGAATAACTTTTTCTTCCCTTTGCCTATAAATATCTGTTAACCTGAGAATTTGAGATTCAGTTCATTAGGTTAAATGCCTATTTGCTAGCAGTTTTGAAATTTGACCATGAGCGAGCTTCAGTTTTAAGTTGTGAAAATAGGATTTGATATTTCTAATCTAATGCTTCTCGTTTTCCTTTACATTAATTCGACACTAAACTTGCGAATTTCCTGATCTGCTAATTATGTAATACAGGCTGCCTTTCCATCTAAGCGTCTTGGAATGGGTGCTTTTAGAATTGCACTGGAGAGCGTCTTCAACAGGTAAGGTTAGTGTCTCATTGCATTAGATAGTTCTCATCAAATCGAGAATATGGATTGAGCTACCGTCCCCAGTTGCATGTAATTAAATTGCTTTTATTGGAAATGTTTCTCCAATATATTGAAAAGAGCTCAGTTTTACTTGAATGCTTTTTCATTCACTTGCTATCCTAATCCATGCTGCAACTCCTTTTTCATTTCAATAAACTATGTGATCATTCTTGTTATCTAGTGAAATACTAATCCTTCTATGAATAAAGTAAAAGTGGCAGACTAATGTTTGTCCGACTCTTCATTTTTCTTGAAGTACTCATATCTAACTCTGGTATTTTATATAAATTTGGACATGGGTTTGGAGATATGTTCATCGAAGGGAAATTTTGAAAAAAAAAATGGATGTAACTATGTCATGACGCATAGCCATATCCAAAGCATAATCTCTTCGTCTTGCAAGGTTCTTAGAAAAATGCTGTATGGCAGAAGACTTGAGGATTCTATGTTGGCATCTTTTATAAACAGTTGTCTTTTACTATAAATGTTGTCTGTCCTTGCAGAACCAGCCCAAAAAGTCTGGAGTACATAACGTATGGGAAACCAAATCCATTTGTCTTCAAGAATGCTGAAATAATATTGAGCCAACTTCAATCATCATGTCGAGATCATTCAGAGAACAATGGAGTCCCTGGATCAAATCCTTTCAGAACACTGTACATGATTGGTGATAATCCTTCTGTAGATGTCAAAGGTGCACAACAGGTTTGTCCGCATACTCATCATCTTTTTCCTCAGTTGTGTTAATGAATATTGTGTACCTGGTTATACAAAGTTTTACTTTTGTTTGAGCTTCGAGGGTTGAAACGTTTTTACATCATTCGATTTCCAGGCTGGGCATCCTTGGTTTTCTATTTTGACAAGGACAGGTGTTTTCAGAGGAAAAGATAATGATACTGAATTCCCAGCAGATCTGGCAAGTCAATCCCAGTACTTGAGAATGTTACTATGATTGTGCCAGAAAAAAATCGGCCATACTTTTTTGCTTCTTACCTTATTAGGTTTCGTTGGTGGTCGTGCAGGTTGTGGATACAGTGGAGGAGGCTGTGGACTATATTCTTAAAAGAGAGTGTTGAACCCGAAGCTTAACTCATTTGGTCAATACTCCTAATACTTGCATTGAGTTCAAATCTCAACAGCCATAACATTTCTCTATTCTATTTTGAAGGTGAAAATGGTTATTCATCATTAATGGAGCTTAGAGGTTTGATTGTGAAGGATAGATTCCCCACTCCGCTAAACATTTCTATCGAGTTTGCCCAACCTTTTCACAGATTGGCTAACATTTCTATAGGAAAACAATGCCTTGTACCCGTAAACATGTTTAAATAAGATTATAATTTAGTCTAAATAAATTATAAAGAAATTATATATTCTATCAATTTTATCATAATTCAATAAATATAGTCACTCATATTTAAAAGTCTATCAATTTAGTGTTTGCTCTTTTCTTAAATTACTTATTATTCTCTTTAAAATGTTATATAATTTCTTGCTACTTTTTTTATATAATAATATTTTAACATTAATATATTATTATTTTTTGACAAAAAATAATTATCCAATTAATATTATGATTTGATATTATCACAAGAAGATTAAATTAATTAAAAATTTAAATATGAAAGGTTAAATTTATTGAATTATTTTTTTAATTAAGATTAAAATAATAGAATATATAAATTTTAAAGATTAAAATTATTATTATATCAAACTCGTATTAGATATCTACTTCAATTATAAGAGATGTGATCCCTTTAGAATAATATTTTAATTAAATAATTAAATTATAACTTAAAAAATGAATTATTTATTTATAAATTTATAACTTAGTAAATTTGGGTGTATTTAAGAAATAATTAAGAGTTGAAGTAATTATGTATGTAAAATGTGTGTTATCAATAATTTTTAAAAAAATTTCTAAATAAATAGTTTCTTATAATTGTCAAACTATTAAAAAAAAAACTCCTTAATTCTGGGTTGTTGAAGAAAAAAGAAAACTAGATAAGCCCCTTGCAACCCCGAAACTCTTCAATCTTGTCCCTTTCCGCCATGGAAATAGCTCTCCTTTCCTTCCCTTCTCCAAGACCCCCGCCTTCCCAAACCCCATCCCTCAAATCCACCACCCCATTTCTCCAGTCCTCCAAATCCGCCTTCCCTTCCTTCAAACTACCCCCTTACCCTTCCATCAGAGCCGCCATTTCCAGAACCAAGAAAGAAGAAACCGTGGAAACAGTTAAAACCCAGTTGGAAACCTTACAGGACGTTCCAAAAGGAGAAGAAAGTTGAGAATGAGTTCACGGGGGCTGTTTTCGAAGGGAAATTTTATGGGCCTGACGATTTTAAACAGCTGGAAAGTATGCCTAGCAGAGTTGAGATTTACGCTAAGCTTTTGGGGAGTTTGCAGGGTCCTGCAATTGGACTTGTTGGGACACTTGAAGCTCCTGCCAGAGATGTTGTTATGGTTTTGAAGGCTTATGTGAGGAAGCTTGAAGAGGAAAGTGATGCAAATTAATGGGGTCCAAGTCTTTCTCCATACAACGCGTGCTTGAAACGTATGTTCAACCACATTCCATACCATTAGGTCTTATTTACATTTTCTTGTAACAAGTCTCATTTTGTGATTTAAAATATGTTTAATATAAAATGTAATTTAATATTGAAAATATTAACATAATAATAAAAATATTATTTTATGTTTAATGATAAATACTTTTATGTCTATAAATGTTACCATCATTTTATGTTTAATAATATATAAGGTAGTATGCAAGGTACAACAAAGACAACATAATCTCAATATAAAAATTCAAAGGGTGTGAACAAAATTAAAATGAAAATATTACTTTGAATAAATACTTCATCTTATAAAAAAAGTAACTACTAATAATCTTTTTGTCTTTATTTAAAATTAGACTTAATATTTGATTTAGATGTTAAGATTGAAGATCAATTTGATAAATTATTCTGCAAACGATTTTGAATATATCAATAAACTAACACATATGAGTATCTAACTATGAAAGATTGTTGATTTTAAGTGTAACGTGATAAATGAAACACCAAATACCAAATTATCATAAAAAATAAAATGTACCATAAACATAGAGGTACAAATATGTTATAAAGCAGACAAAAATAAACACATAAAAATATATGAAAAATAAAAAAAATCAACATAAAGAATATTTATTTAAATTTAAATCGATTCATAACTTAACACATGCGTCTGAGAAAATGGAGAGAGGAGAGCGAGTATCAAAGTGTTTTCATGTCTTTGTCAACAAAGTTAGCAAAAGGATTTCCAAGTTTTCTCTTAAGGAAGCTTTTCAGATGTATGGAGTTGTGATTGATGTTTACATTGCTTATAACAATGTCAGAAGAAAATCAGTAGGATCTACTTTTGCTTTTGTGAGGTTCGACAAGCAGTCAAAAGCTAATACAACGATTCGTTGGGTAGATGAAAGAGTCATCGATGGTTTTAAGATTAGAGTTTATCATGATAAAGTACCAGATGTCAAGATAAAGAGGGCAGAGGTTGGTAGTCGATCCGATAAGGTGTGAAAGCCATCTTTGAGGGATTCAAGATCGTTTAAGGAAGCAATTGGGGATGCACAGAAAGACGACGGAAAGTTGCAGGTTAGCGAATACTGTTTTCAACAATCGAATTGCATTAGGCCTGAGAATTTGGTACATGTTTATCTAGCAGATGATGGAGGTTCTCACTCATATCTTGCAAGTGATGTTTTAAGTAGGAATATTTCCATTCCTAAGATGGAGTCATTGTGGAGAAAATGCTGCTTGGTTGATAAAATTAAAAATATGTACAATTAAGATATTGTCAAAACAACATTCAATGCTAAAGATTTTGATGTGAACATCTATTTGTGGTACGATTTACTGGTGGTTATCCAGTTTAGGAATGAAAGGGATCGATATGCATGCTGGTCAAATAGAAAAGAATGGATACGTCTTTGGTTTGATGAACTGGAGCATCTGGATGGTTTTGAGTTCAAAATGAAAAGGAAAGTTTGGTTATGTCTTAAGGACGTCCCTCTCTCAGCTTGGTGTGATAAGTTCTTTTTGGAGTTAGGAAACTTATGGGGCAAAGTTCTAAGGATTGATGAACCTATGTCCAATCAGGATAGGTTTGATGTAGCTAGAATTCTATTGGAGGTGCAGTTCCGTTCGGATATTCCAGAGAAAGTTCCTATTCTGTTAAATGGTAGTGTTTTCTTTATTAAAATTTTCACATAAGTTTTTGATGAGGCTCGAGTTTTCTTGGATGGAACCTTGTCCGAGGGAGGAGAGAGGCAATCAGTGGCTGATGAAGTGGTGGAGTTGTCCGGGTTAGTGAAGGTATGTGCGTTAGACAATGGCCCCGAGAAAGGTGTTATGGGGGAGACATTGAATGATTTGTTGAGTCATAGGCATGCTAATGATAGTGGGAAGGTGGCAGTGAGCATGTTGCATGTATCATATAGATGGGTCTATTTCCAAGTCGACTGATGCTAGTTTTGGGCTGTTGGAGCTTAATAGAGACATAGAACAACAAAGGATGACTCATTCTATATCAAATAATTCTAGGCTGTTTGACGTGCCCCTAGAAGAGGTATATTCGCTTCAAGTATTGGAGGAGGTCATTCCCTTTGAAACTGTAACATCCTCAATACCGGGTTAGTGACCAAATTGTAAAGTTTCAGAAATTGATGATTAAAGTAGAAGAATTGAATAGTTCAATGATTTACCTGGAAATATTTCCTGAATTTGCTAGTAATTATTAAGGGAATTAAAGGGCAAAATGGTCATTTGACAAGGAAGATTTTTATTTCTCTTTATAAGATAAGGGAACCACGTGGGAAAGAAAGATTTCTCCAGAACTTCTTCTTCCTCTCCTCCCGTATCTCCAAGCTCAAAGGTGAGTTTCTTTGTTTACGGATTAATTGTTGATTTTAAGGTTGGAGTTTGATTATTAGATGATAACTAAGCTTAAGGAAAGCTTAAGTTATCTTAAAATCAAAGTATGATGGAGTTAGGAGGGATTAAAGATTTGAGGTTCTTGGGTGAAATCTTGAAATAGAGTTTATAACTAGAGTTAAAAGTTAAATTTGACTTGTCAATGGTCTAATTAAGAAGTTAGAAGCCATAGAATTAGAATCAAAAACATATTGCAAAGTTGGTTTAATTCTTGAGTTACATATGAGGAATAGAATTCTGAAGTTAAAGATGGTTTATATGGATATAAATTGGTTTAAGCATGTGTATATGAGTTGAGAACATGAAAGGGGATGAAAGATGAAGCATTTGAGTTGATTTGGGTAGATTTTTGGGCTTAAAAAAATGAATTCTGGGCTATGTGCATCGATGCATATTCAATGTGCACCGATGCATCAAGGGAAAATCTTCAGAAATTGTTCAATGTGTATCGATGCACATGAAGTGCATTGATGCACCTCTTAAAAATGGAAACATCGAATGCAATTAATGCATCGATGCATAAGCATCGATGCACATGTTATGAGATGCATCGGTACACTATAGAATGCATCGATGCACTTCAAGGGAAATTGAAATAGACGTTTCTTTTGGTCTAAGAAATAATAGATTAAATTATATCAATGAGATACTGATATGTATCAATGTATGATTATGTAGATATCGAACATGAACCAATTTCGGAACGATTATCAAGTTAAGATTCGATCGAAAGAGATGAATCATAAAGAGGATTGGAACTTAGTGAGGCCAAGGTGAGTGCATCTTATTACATAGGATTATATGGAAAGTGACTTGCGATAAGTCTATTCCGATAGTATAGTACATGATTATGTAATTAATATGAAATGTATGTATGTTTGATTATATGAATTGATATGCTTTTGGTATGTGCTATATGGTTGATGTAAAAACACTATTAAGTGTTGATGAAAAAAATATAAAATAAGTTATGAAATTATAGGAATAAAGAAGATAAGTCAACTGATATATGGAAATGGAAATAGATGTCTATGAAGAGTCATAGGAGAACAAATATAAATCATATGATAATGAAATATAAGACTATGTGAATACATGGTTATGAGATAAAATATGTAATAATAGGAGAATGTGATGAAAGTGAGTTTGTGAGTAGTGATAAGAACTAGGTAAACAGGTGTAACAGTTATATGCATAATAGAAACATGAGTTGGATAAGTACATAGTGATATAATCCACTATGAGAATTAGTATAATAGAGCTTTTTGATTTAATGAGAGTTAAGGGAACTAAATAAGATTGAATTATAGAATGAAAGGGGAATAGTATATCAAGTAGGAAACTTAAATATGAAGGGATGATACAAATATGTAAGATCTATCGAGCTATATGAAAAGGTTATAATGAATATATGAAATTGAATTAAGTAAATAAATTAAATTAATATATAAATAAAATACTATTTAATGATATATGTTTAGAAATACGACATAGTTTATGTAATCTAAGGGAATACAAAGAAATGAAGCCTAAGGTAGATGATATGATATAAGTTATTCTATACATATATGATATATATTATTAAGTAATATGAAAGGACTCCGAAAATGAATATAAGCTATGTGAAGGTGTTCTATATGCGATATGAATTATATATGATCATATGTGAACGAGATATGATATGTATGTTTACATGAATATCTGAGAAATGATCTACGTGATTATATGCATTTTGGATATATGTTATATGATATGGATCTACGTGACTACGTGAAAAAGAATATAAGCTATATGACATGGAAATGTTCTATGCGTAAGTGAATTATGTGTATATAAGAATACGTGAAATGACATAAATGATAATGCCCATGTTATGTGTCATGAGAGCTAGATGTATAGTTGGCATGCCAAGAGTCGAGGGTCTAAGTGGTCCGTAGGGACATAGTGGTTCTTCGGAACAATCAGTGGTCATTGGGGATAAATATTCAGTGCCCCTTGAGGGAATTATACGAGCTGTGGCGATAGCATAGTGCACAACCTCCATGTACTCGCATATCTTTAGTACTCACATGTGTATCACGGGCTAAATACGAGATAATATTAATAAACTTGATATGATGATATGTTTGTTTCCTTGTGAAATATTATGCGTGATATATGATTGTACAAATGGTGATTACAGAATCATATGATAAAAGGAATCAATGATAGTGATAAGCATGAAGATGATGATATAGTTGCTTTTGTGTATGTGTCTTATGATAGGACATATATGAGTACATGTTACAATATATGTGAATGATTATAATTGATTTACATGATGATATAATAACAAGTTTACATGATAAATGATATGAATAGAAGAGATCATAAGAACTTGAGACAAGAGGTATGAATAATTATGACATATACATATGTATGTATTTGTTACCTGTAAGAGTGTATGAATTGTATGAATGATAATAGTAATTGTTCATGTATGATTATTAGTTAAAGTTTGCATATATGTTATTGCCTCACTAAGTCATAGACTTAGCGTGTGATTGTTTCACACGTAGGTTACAGAAGCGAGAAG